TAGGCACAAAGGTCCAAAGCCCAAGTGGTGCAGGGTGCAACCAAGGGCGACAACTGTCTTGTCAGCAACCCACCCTTCAAAAACAGAAGTTACATTTGCATACAATATCCTTCTAGCCCTGGAACCCAAACCACCGCAGTTTTCATCTTGGAAGACCTTCTTAAGACTTCAAGTTGCGACCACAATCTGTGCTGAGTGTCTGGAGGCTAGCGGCTAGCTTGGGTGCAAGAAGCCTACGTCACCCATGCAATTCGGAAGCGGTCTTGCATGCGGCGGGCTGGCCAGGCCAATGGCCAGGATGGGAATCCTGTCAACTATGATAACACAACACATCAACGGGGCTGCTCATACATTTATCCTCCAAAAAGAATATGTTGGAAGACCTTCACTGGTTGATGCTACGGTACAAGTACGCCAACTAAGCAAACTCGGGAGGAAGTGAATCTCGGGACGCAGGATCAAAATTCTTCAACACTTGCAAGACTTCTCAAACTTTGTTCCTCAATTGACAGGCATGTTCAAGTCTAATTCTGTATATAGAGAGATATATTCTTAATAAAAATTCGGAAGTACCGCTTAAGAATGAAGATTGTGTTTCAGTACCCCCCCCTTCTCTCAGGCATCCCAAGGGGTCTCCCCCTCATGCCGCTGAACTTCCGGGGCCTTTGAGGGGTGGAGCCTTGAGGGATGGCACTCGGTCCAAGCAGGAAAGCTGGAGCGCAGGATCCACGGTCCGCGAGCAGGGCAGGAAACGAGGTGGCGGCATTGGTTGGTTTGAACGGAAGGTATATCACTGACAGAGGGCGATCAGGAAATCACCCCCATGAGCTTGCTCAAGCCTACTGTAAGAACAAACCCTTACGAGTATTGATTAGTGGATAGGATAGGGATAGGCACTCCAGTCTTCCACAATCCACACTGACCACGGTAGAGTATCACTCGGGCATCGCATGTTTCACGTGGGGATTCTACCCCCCCCAATACCCTCAAATCACTGTACGCATATCCTGGAAAAGGGCACCACATTTCCGATTCTAATCGCTGTAGGATGGTGATTGGGGGAATTCCTCTACAAAATGCTGAAAACAAAAGATTGAGTCCTTTTTGTTGGTGGCTAAGACCCGCAGTTTCATTCCAGGTGCAGCTACTGAGATGCAAAAGGCCAAGCAAGGTCCTGATTTGAGGAACATCGAGAAGGTTTTAACAAAGGCTGTCTTGACCAAACTGTACTATTCTTAGCCGCAAGAAGTCTGTCAATATCTTTCAGCCTGCCACTCTCCGGACTTGCGCCCAGCGGAAAATGCCTCGATCAAGTGAGCTCCATATATGAACACGCAGGGCCAAGGCAAACCTCTGATCTGTTCTGATCTGTTGAAACTCTGTTTGATCCTGTTTGTTCCTGTATTGAAAACCTATGTTCAAGACGGAGACATGCTCCTTGATGGCTTAAGAATGTCAGTAAGCTTTAAACAGGCTTTAGTCAGCCAACATCTCATGGCATCTCGTTGTCCTTGACTTTGGAAAAGAATCTTGGCCCGTGAAAAACCTCGAAACCTCGCCGTTCCATCTCTTCAACTCGTACGGCATCGCCAGGTCGGCGTCGCCGGCATCAATCCGCCTGGGCTGGATGGTAATATGGATGACAACAGTCCCATGCAAGCACTTGACTTGACTGCCAAGATTTGGGGGGGAAGAAAGTGAGAAATGTCTCGTCCACTACTCCCTTTGGCTCAAACTGCAAGTTAGACCATACATTGCCAATCAAACAAGTGTCAAGCTTCATGGTGAGTTTGGTCCATGTTTGCCCGCTTGACGCTCTTTGCCCTGCGTCCTCAAAGCAAAGCTCCTAAAGCTTTCTTTTTAGCTTATATATACTATTCGGTATAATTGTAAATCACTGGAAACGAAGCTCTCGTGTGTATAAAGGAGCGGCCAGCTCGACTAGAGTCGGGAAAACTACTGGTTCTATATGGTATACAGCATTGGGAACTGCATGATACTGCTTGTGCATTGTATGCTCTATTATTCAGGAATATACGGGACAAACTACTGGACAACTGTGTAATTAACGGGCAGAAACACTTCAATTGCTGCTGTCCTTCCGATGAGTGAACGGCAAAACACCAAAAGGGCCAATTTGGGGTGGAAAATGTTCCAAACTCTTCTCGCGTCCACGGGGAATTGAACAGAATCACCGCCTTTATCCCTCATAAATGTTGTGGAACCCAGGGGCTTCACATGACGACTGTCTGACACGCTTTCCCTGGTGATCCTCACGTCTCACCGGCAGAGGATGAAAGTCCTCCGACTGGCGCTTTCCACTCGGACTTCCCGCCTGCGTGAGCATGGCGGCGCCGGCCAGCACCCAACGGTACTCGTTGTCATCTGGGTCCATGCCTTGGCCGTCAGCCGGGCGAGAAGCTACGAACGTAGCTCCTGGCATCGCTCCTAGAAACAAGGACGCTACTAGTAGCTCCTGGAAGTACTACTAGTAACAATGGCTACTAGTAACAAGACACACCCCAATATGCACCTCATGTTGTTGGCTGGGAGGGGTTGTATCCATGATGCACGCTTTATGTAACACACAGGATAAGAATAAAATAGAACAAACATCAATGACGAAAGGACATGTTGGTCATTGTTGGTCCCTCCTCCCGCCTGACACCTGGAGGCCGCCCACGGCCGGCCCCAACCATCCCCCGAATGGGCGTCTAGATGTACGCATGCGGATCCACTGCCATGGATGCAGGAAAACCCTTCAGCAATTCCAAAGTGCTGCAGCTTCCCTCACCATTTCTCACCATCTTCCAGGTGTTTCACTCCACTCCCGAACGTGTTTTCCCGTGACCGGAGCTCCGGTGGGGCGGGGGGGAAGCGACCGGTGACCGGCTCCGCCCCGGATCGCCATCGGCAGCGTTCGAGAACAGCGACGGACGTTCGCGACGAAGATGAAGGTCGCACCGCGCAAGGAGGTTGAGAAGACCGGACCTCAGTACAAGAGTTTTTGAGCCAAAAGGAAAAAAAACATAAAAAAAAGCCAAAAGCCTTTCTTGATCACGTGCAAAGACCAGCAATGCCCAAAATATGGAGGGTTGGCACAAAAGCCGTCAGTGGGGCTTACCATGGCTTACCATTCTGGTGCATCCCTCAAAATGCAAAGGTTGGATCTGAAAAAGCCCACGACCTGCTTGGTGGATGATGCTTGAAAGCAAGGCCTCTTCTACCTTCTTCTTCCTATAAGAAAAAACAACATAATAAGTTGTTCTACACTTGTGGAGAGCATGCCCCAAGGCTCACAAGTTATACATTTGGCGAAGGGAACTAGTTTGAGAACACACAATCTCTCAAGGGATCCACTTCCACCCTAGATGGAACATTAGTTTAATACAACAAATGCACATTTCGCCCTTTTCGACCACAAAGTTGTAGGATGTTGTAGGTATACTGTATCACCTTTGTTGAACATCACTGCATATGGATGATCCAATTTGAAGGAACAACCACGCCATGTTTATTTATTTACCAAATCTTGCATGTGAAAAAATAATCATTACGCCTGCAATCTCATGATACCATCGATGATGGGTACCAGCAAAAAAGGCTATTGAAGTCCCACAAAATGTTGAACCCACAGGCCCTCCCACAATGGCTCCAGTCATGTGAGAATCGTTGAGTGGCTCCCCGTCCAGTCCCAGCTGCAGTGGTACATCGCCGTCCAGTCCATCTCATCAATGTGCACGGCGAAGATGTTGCACACCTCACGCGGTGCCCGGTGCAGCGATCGAAAACGGTGCCCCAACGGCCGGCGCGGGAGAGGACAGGTTGGCACGGATTGGCGGAAGTGCGGCGTGAAGCAGTTTGGCGGGCGGATCGAGGTTTATTCTCTAAACGGGGGTCTATACTATACGTTGTGTTTTTGGTGAAGAAGAAGGGGTAGAGGTGGGTTGCTTCCCTATCCCAAGCTTTTCTAACCAACCCTGTATTTGACTCTTATCTCAGGGAATCGTTACATCACTCGAATGTATACGATCTTGATGGCCGTGAAATGTCGTGAAAGATTCGATGTTCCCACCTACCTGAAGTAGTGATCATTCACTTGTTTCTTGGACCTTGGAGGATCCTGTGTAAACAAATTGACAGGCTCCCCACCAATCAGTTCTCTCCGTTGTTCTCACAATGTCTTGAACACCCAGTGTTCTGCAACATTGCAACAATGGCATTCTTGCCGATCCCCATGCTTGCCCAGCCACCGGCATCGTTGGATGCAAGTCCTTCATCTTGCTCTCAGTAATGTAGCCCTCACGGATGAAGCCAAGTTAGGCTACCCAGGGATTTGCAACGGCAGGGTTAGTAGAGTACCCCCGAGAGGAGAAGCTTTCCGTCCAGGACAAGTTGGCGATGTTCGCTTCCGGTGGGGCTATATGTCCTGGAGGCGGCTCCACACTTTCAGGAGGTCCATTTCAACAACAGGAAAACGTCAGTGTGACAAACATAAACTATAAATTATATCTCATATATGATGTCGATCCAAGTGAATGAGATGCAAAGCTCCGCGCAAACGGCCAACTTAGGGACTTAGGTCTTTGCAAGTACAGTCTGCATTTCGACCAGCGTGTCTACCAATCGTGTCTGATCACGGCCTTGCTGCTTACATGGTGATCGTTTAAGCTATCGATAAACGAGCATCGCAGCAAAGCTACAACTTGTATATACTTGTATAATTGTAAAATGGCCACTATATATACATCAAGTATATGTACATATACTATAGTGGCAAGAGCTACAGTGGCCATCATACTAAGGTCTTGTAAACCTTCCGCCGGATGTCCCACCCCAGTTCCACTTGAACGTCCCACGGGTCGTGCTTCAACGTCAGATCATCAGAATGGCACGTTTGCCGAAACCCTGACCCAGTCTGTCGGTCCGTGGGGGCAGTAAACATGCCAATCCCATGGAGCGATGTTCCACTCGGATTGAAACAATATTATATATATAATTCAACCATCCCAAGTAAAGCTTGAACATTCAAAAAAACATATCAAACCATCAACCAGTTCCGGAGTGTTTGGGACGCCCCGAACGCACCGGCGACACGGGCTTTCCGGGGCCTCGTCCTCACCCTTGCCATCTTCCCATCCGGCACCCTCCAAAAAGAGACCGTGCACATTCACGCCCTGCAGGGTTCGGGTTCGGAGCGAAGAGCGATTTGATGTTCGGTGATTTGAAGTGTCTGAAGTGTCGGAATCTGTGTCAAACTGCTTCTTTGGCATAGGGCCTGGGTGGCAAGAACGAACCTTAACTGCCTTAGCTTTCCAGAACCAGTTCCAAGGAAAACAACAGCTAGTGAAAACAAGGAGGCAGCAGCCCTTGAGCATGCTCCGCGTACTGCTCCACAGTAATCTCTCTCTCTGGATATCTTCCAACTACGGGGACTTCACAAGGATCCTATCAAGTAGAGGAAGTGGAGAATCGACCTGGGTTTGTGAGTTGTGCATGTCGTGCTTTCTGAGACTGTCAGAAATGTTCCGCTCGGAAACTCACACAGTTCTGAAGTTCCTTGTCCCAAAACGATTCTATTTAGATCCTATGAAAAAGAGGGTTTGTCCGATTTGTCCCAAACCCCAAAGCCAGTGGCTTGCTGAGATGTTGAGATTTTGGTGTGGGGCTCCCGATTCCAAGACCCACCCAAGCAGAAATCAGAAATATCAAAATCCTGCGTCGACTTGCACAAGAACTCTGCTGGGACTTGCAAGCTGCTGGTCCACACAGGAAGACTCAAGCTACTTCAACCGATCTCGATATGACGACTTATGTACCCATATCTACCCCTCCAACAATCTGGACTTGAAAAAATTTCTCCAAACCCACATGGCTGGAGCGATCGGATGCTACGTTCGGGGCTCCTGGCCTCACTACTAGGAGCAAGTAGCTACTAGTAACAAGAAACTGCTAGGGGCTCCTGGCATCGCTACTATGCTCCACCGCCGTACTTCTCCACGAGATCCTCTGCCCCACTTCCAAAAGCCGGTGGCGACCGATCTCTTTCTCCGCCCGACCGATCTCCGCCTGTGGCGGCACACCTGTGATCTCTGCCAGATCTCGAGTGTTGTAGAAGCGGCACCTGTCGAGAAAATAGGTCCAAGGGATCGTCGGCAAGCCTCGACCCGCCACAGTACGTAGATGTAGGTTTTCCCGAGTGCTTCAGAAAAAAAACACGACACAATTAATACAAGAGACCCCTATAAATACGGTTTAGATGATGTGTGTCTTTTAAGTTACCGGCTTCTAAACACTACTAAACCAAACACATAGACGATTTTGGGAGTATGGTTTTATGTTTTTTTTTTTTTTTTAATACTATTGTTGTTCTTTTAATTCTTATTAGGTTACCCACCCACTAGGATCACCACCAATCCTGCCCCTCACTAGCAACATGCCGCATTTACACTCATGTGCACGCTTCCCCAGTGGCACAGTGGCACCGAGCCACGCAAACACATGTTCTACCGAAGCCACACGAAACCGCATCGCGCAGCGACATCACCGGATCTGATGAAAGGTATACAAGCGAAGACTATCGAAGAATCACTTTTTTTTTGTAAAGGGAAAAGGAGGCCCTTCGATCTGGCGTTTGAAAAAATGATACGAGATGATACGAGTATAAGTCCATCTTTGGGGGTCCATCTGTTCCCGGAAAGTCTAGTAACAAACACGACCTCTGATTTGTATGTTTTGGGGGAGCAAAGAATGGGTGCCCTTGTTACTAGTAGCTTTTGTTACTAGTAGTAATGGCCTCCAGCCTACTAGCGATGGCCTCCAACCTAATGGTGATGGCCTCCACCCTAGTAGCTTCTTGTTACTAGTAGCGATGCCAGGAGCTACTGGTAGGAAATCAAAACGGCGCCTATTGGTCATGTAGTCCAAAGGCAAGCTATTGGAGCGAGCAGCCACCTGCGGCATTTGCTTGAGACCGCCGGCAACAGCGTTGGCAAATATGTTTCTTGTGTTTACGTGTTGCTTCTTGTGGTGTGGAAGCTATGGAACCGTATGGAACCTATATATGAACCTACCCATAGGCCCATAGGCTTCTATATGTCTGCTATCTGGTAGATGTTCTATTCGCTTGGTGACCTGCCAATCCTCCACACCATGTCGTCCGACTGCCGTTCGCTTGGTGACCTTCGGAAAGCCAGCAACGCTAAGGAGCCGAAGACCTGATGTTTAGTCACCGCCTGCATGTTGGAGGTCAGGAAGGACATGGAGTTGAAGAGACCACTGATCCAAATGGATTTCAGCAACTTCCTTGAGAGCAATGGACCGGACTCGCACGAAGAGGGTCGAGAAGACACATTGGGGGTCGATCACCGCCAGGCGGGTCGAACTAATGGGATGAGTAGACGTATACTCCTCAAGTGATTGAAATTCCCTGCACGAGATAAATGCTCGAGACACATCACAATTCAGCGAAAGATGTAAAGGTTGGAAAGGGTCAACATATGTTAAAACTGCACAACAGTCAGTATATATCATTATAACAAACCAGTGATCGACATCTGGCTTGTTTGGAGGTTTTTGACGCTGTTCAACGGGGGGCCAAACGGTCTGAGTCCAGCTCGTGGGGAAGTCCAAAGACCTACTACTGTTTACTTGGATGTATATTATGAAGACCCCTCGAACCTTTGTGATTCCACATGATTTTCCCCAAAGCTGTGAACGAATACATCGATGTCTTGAGGGAGACCGGTTGCGGTTGTAAAAGGATAGACATGTCATTCCAGCAAGTTCCCATTCCAAACATTTATTCTCATCTTCATAGCGGACAAAGCTTCTTGGTGTCCGCCCAAAGGTATTTTGTCGGATGCTCTTACCAGCAGTTCCATATCGGGGTGCCAAACGAACAAAGGAAGTCGAGCTGCCCAGAACATCCAGTCCCTGGATTGGACGAACAAAACCCTTGCGACCAATCCAACTGCTCAGTTTGGGATTCCTTTTGGATCCGAGTAGCAACTGCGCCGTCCACTCGACCACCTGCTCATGCCGCAAGACCTGGGACTGTGATCGGACACCCACGTCTCCGATCGCACGGTGGGACTCGCACGATGGCCAGAGCTCACTCTGAGGACATCTGAACATCTCATTCACTTCTGAACCCTCTTCGTTTTTTAACCGGTTCCCGAACACAACACCTAGCTCTGTTGTGGAACGCGTCTGTGCATGTGTATTTGATTGTATTTGAATAGGGAGACACCCAAACAAAAACCGTCGATGTCCCTTCTTCCAGGTCTATTCTGAGGAAAATCTCACTCTGTTCAATGCACACACTTTGGGTCTACCTGTAACAGTGGATGATGGTTCAGTTGCAGGCCTTGTCCAAAAAAAAAGAATCCCTGTTTACAGGTCCTGTTACAGCTCAGTTCGGACAGACCGACAAACCCCACACTCCTTTCGCGTGGCGATGTGGCGCAAAACCACCGCCCGGCCGGGCTTCCCGGGCCAGGTCGGCGAACCACGCGGAGAGCGCCTTCAGCGAGGGGTAGGCCTGGCGTGGTGCTGGAGGTTTCAGGGATGGCAGAGGTCGTTTCGCTGGCTTTCTCCTCTTCAATGAGAACTCTATGTGCAACTGTTGCGAAAAGACGTTGAAGATGGTTTTTGCTCTATGTTGAAAACGAACTAGAGCCAACTCTCAGCGATCTTGACCACAGAAACGGGTGCTTTGTTGTTCGTATACTTTCATGCATGTGGAATCATATTGATGAATCGATGAATCCATGATGTTCCATGTTACATGTCATCAAACTGTACCACATATAGCTGTGGTTGTTTTACATCTTTGCCACCATCTTCTCCGCATTCCCCCCTTCTCCGGCGGCCCCTTCTTCGGTTCTTCGGCCGCCCCCACCAGCCGGCGCCCCTTGCCTTCTCCGCCCACAAAGCGTTCACCTTGTTGGACTGTAAGTCGGCCGAGAGCATCTGGCGGTGCCGCGGTCCCGGCCGAGGTCCGGAAACGAAAGAGGTCGGCAGGCAGTTGACCATTGGAGTCCGGGTTTACCCCGGGGTGAACCATCCTCATGTAGGTTTATAATAGGTTTATATATGTGTATTTTAAATGTGTTTGGTATGTTTAACGATACTTATTGTGTTTATATGCCAGTCTCATGAAGTGTCTGGGGCTGTATGCGCTGTTCATATGAACCATCATAAACTCACAAATATAAGGATATGTTCACACGTTTCTGGGGAGGGAGTTTATAAATCAAGACTGGGCAATATGTTAAGTATATCATATCAACCGTTACGGAACGCTAACAGAGTCTTCCAAGACTTTCAAGACCATGCTCCCGACTTTTCCAAGTCGCCTTTTTCGTTGGCGGGGCATATCGTCGTCTGCGCGTGGTGTGTGGAATGCAAACAACTGGACTCTAAGAACTAATCATCCCCGTTCATTGGAAGGTCGAAAATGGGATGACCAAACACTTTCTGCCAGGTGCTCTCTGCGAATGATCTTACAGTATTTGTCTTGAACATTGACAAGCAGGCAATAAGGTGATTCTCATGGACAGGTATTTTGAGGGGCAAGCCGTGGTCAAGAGTCTGGTTCAACAGAGCGGACGCAATATCCTTTTGTTTGGTTTCAAAGACGGCCCCAAAATGACAAATGAACTACATCAGCATCTCCTCTCTCTACTCTATTAGTGATCGATCGAAGTGACGCGACGAGATGTGCCGTTGGTGCCACCGGGAAAGCGTCTTTTTTCCGTCACCGTGACGCTGCGTTGGGCGATGCCAGGGCCTCCATCTTCTCCGTCACGTTCAGAGCGCCGCTGATGCCTTACGCGTCGCGGTTTGGTCAGTGTGGAAAAAAACTATCCTGAGCTCTAGGTGGAAAGTTGTTGTTTGAAGAAATGCCTCGTGAGACTGAGGCCCATCAGTCTATAATTGTATTGAATCTACGATGATGGTTCTTCCTGGTTCACAGCTCTGTCGAAATCTTCGGTTGTCAAACAGTCGTGCATGTTTCTGGGAAGAAAAACATGAAACAACAAACCCTTGAACAAACGGTCTTTGCAAACGGTCTGTTTCTGGCACAGTTCGGTCGTTGCAAGGCCAAAACCCTTCGAACAATCTTTGGATGGACCACAGAACTCAGCCAACTGTGTCTCTCTCCACCGATGCAGGATGGATCCTTTGCAAGACCGGTTCTGGCCGGGGACCCCTTGTGGCCCATACCCACTCAAGTGAGAAGTGGTCGTGGCTCGAAATATCTCATGAGAACAGTGTTCTAGTATGTTCTAGTGTTGCAAAGGAAGTCCTCATCTTCTGACAAGTTGTCGGCAAACTTCCTGCAGTGCCTGCAAACTCCCAAACTCTACATAGGCAATGTGCGTTTTTTTCATCTCATAGCTCCGTGAGGCTCCGTTGCCTGACAAAAACCACCGAAACCCCCCAAAAAGCCGCAGTGCTTGAGTGAGCTGCGCTGGAAGAAGACCCTTCGCAGCGACGCGAGCAGCTCGCGCTCGAGGGCGCTCGCGGGGTTGGACTCTGGCGTCCAAGTGGCCCAGCTCCAACTCCAGGAGAGAGCTGCGGATCTGGTCCAGCAAGGCATTCACGCGATCCGCCTGACATGGGTCGATCCGCATCCAGGTCCAGTTCTTTCACGTGGAGAACTGGCCATCTCTGATGAAATTCCCCCCACGGTTCTGAACCGTTGATGGGGAATGGGTGGGAGAAGGACGGAGGTCCGGACGGCTTTCTGACGGGATGGATGAGAAAGTAGCATGGTCTAGCAAACCCATGAAAGTGTTGACTGGTCTGGTGGGCCTGCATTCTTCTTGTACATAAAATCGTACTTAATCTTATACATAAGCTGAAACATGATGATAACATGTTGATATTCTTGGCCTAGCCAACAAATTGCTTTACCAAACTCAGATGATCATGACCTGCAAGAAGACTTCACCAACACCACGGTCTTGTGCAGTTTCTCATCGCGCATTTGTGTTCCAAGACGTGCCTGTTTGTTCGGGAATGGAAAGGCCTGGCCTCCTGAAGGGACACGATGATGAAGGGGGTGTAGTCCTCCTCTTTCAGCCTGCCTGGTCACAAGGATCGGAGAATGGCTGAGGTTCAAGGTCAGCAATCATGCATTTCAAGCCATTTCAAGCCATCAATGTCGCTTGCCTGTGCTGACGTGCCAGGCTGACACGCTGGCAAACATGCTACTTGGCTGATGGATGGCACTAGGGCTTGGCCCGGCTGGGCAGGTTGACGTATTTCAGGTGAATTGATCATATATAATAGTATTTCACAATATCACACTCGCCAGCCAAGCTTCTCGTGCCACCCCGGAGATGAGTCTTATCATTTTACAATGGCAGGTGTGCCTTAAAAAAGAGTGAGACCTCCGAAAAACACCGTGGAGGTCTAAGGAACATACACCCAAGACCACTACCAAAACCTATTGGTTGGGAGGTCCCCCGAAATACAAGGCCATGCCTCTCCCAGGAACCGGGAACCAGTTCGGTGTCTCTGCCTCGGATGTCTATCATGTCCAAGTTCGTGGGCAGCCTGGGCGGGAGAGTGGACTCTGAGTGGACTCTTGGGAGGTCGAGAGTGGCGTTGCTTGCCGCAAGCAAGTACACCAGATTATTCAGGGGAGGTGGGCCTCATGAATGTACCTCAGACCTTCTAGACCTTCCACTTCGGGGGGGAGGTGTATTAATCGGGTCTTCGCAAGTACACCAGATGTGAAACCAAACCAAACTTAAAATCAAATGCAATCAAATCGATCAAAGGCATGTTCATGATTTTGTTGGTTTCAGCATAGGTGAAAGCACGCCAAAAGTGAACCCATCTTTGTGGGTCGGAAAGAGTCAGAAACGGTTGCGCCGCTACATCCTCCAAATCCATTTCGGATCTAGGTTGGGCCAGCCCAGCAAGGTCAATCCCTTTGACACCTGTACCTCCTAAGGGTGTTTTTTTTCGACAAAAAGAACACCATCCATGCACAAAGTGACAACGCGTGGTCGAAGAACCACCGTTTCAAGGTCGAAGAATGGAACTCCACCGGTCTCAGAACCTTGATCCAGGACGTTCTATCGGTGCGCGACTCTGTGACCTGTCTTGGGATCTTGGGGAAAAACATGTAAACTAAATAGCTTCTTGTTACTACTAGTAAGGCACTTGTTACTAGAAGCGATGCACTTGTTCCTAGTAGCTATTTGTTACTAATATATATAATACGTATTACAATCTTCCCACCAATCATTCTCATGCTGCTTCTCCTACTTTCCATCCTCCGTCCACCCATCCTCCTTGCCCAGCGGCGCGGTCAGGTAGCTGGTGATGAGCGGTGTGGAGGCAGAGATATCGGCGCTGCCGCCGCCCCCACCGCCACCCGTGATATCCTACGGCCACGGGGGGTTTGTTCGACGGGTTTTGTTCGACGGTTCTTTTTTTGATCCCAAAAACGTCGTTTAGTTGGCCTGGGGTCTCAAACAACAGGCCCGGGGTGCTTAGTTGGAGATTCTTTGGGATTCATTGGGATATCTTGGGCCTACACATGCTTACTTTTTACCTGAAGAGCTTCTTTGCAAATCAAGCGAACCCAGGCGATCCACTTCGATGTTGACCCGATGTTGACTCCATGATCCACTTCGGTTTAGTCAATATCGCTCCTTTGATGAGACATGATGTGACCCAAGTGATCCTACAACTAGCAGCTACAAGTAGCAACCATTGGCTCTTGTGTCTTGCTCATTAAATACCCTTCTCCTCCGATGACCTCCGATTGTCCGTGCACCCTGGAGTTGCACATCTGCGTGACACGTTCCGGTTCGTGCGCCACGACCGCTCCGCGATCGTCTTGAAGATGCTGATGCCCTGATTGGTCAGGAAGCCAATCTCAGCGTTGGGATGCCTTGAACGAGAATGCTGGGGAGGCACGGGCAAAAACCAGCTCCAGCTGGAGTCCACAGAGTCGTGGGTCGTACGGCGTGTCTAAACGACATGTCGTACGGATTTCCAACCGGGCGAGTTTGAGCCATCCGGTCCAGCCATGCGCCATGCACACCTGTCAGTCGTGCTCAGCCAGGAGGCAATCCGAACATCTGTGGCACCTCCGGGGGGAATCGCTCCTCAATGTATTTCACGTAGTGCGAATACTCCAGCTTCGCGGCATCCTTGGCTTCGCCGGCAGTCACACCCGGGACCTGGCGAAGGCAGGACAAGAGGTGCCCAAAGCAATAATAGCAAAGTTATGCAAAGTTGTCCACCTTACAAAGTAGTCACATATCGTCTCATGGGTTGTGTCTTAGTGCTTTCTGATTTTGATCGGGAAGCTTCTTGATCGTTAAATGATTTCAACAAACTTCTCCACGCTGTCGTCGCCTATTGGCGGGAGCTCCTGATGTTTCAACAAACGTCCGATTCCTTGCCCGGTGAAGTTCGTTGGAATTCCAAGACTTCAAACATCGAACTGCAAAGAACATGGTTTGAATCATGTTGAATCAACATCATCCTTTTATCCTGGTTTAAGATTATCCTTTGTTATCCTTTGTTCTGTGAGCTTAAAATCTAAGTACTCCAGGAACACGATAGATTGTTCCAGTGGGGCGAGGGATCAAACAAAAAGCAAAAGTGGGGCTCACAGGATCTCAGGTCTGGCAGCAAACCTTGTCCATAAGCTGCTCCAGCTACGCCCAATTCCTGGCAAAAGAACCTTGAATTGCAAAGTAGTTGGTGGATACTAGAGCATTTGTGGCCGAGTATGACTTCATCGATCATCCATCTGCATCCTCACCAACCCAAAACACACTCAGCTCTTGAAATCTCTTAAAGGTTGTTCTGAAGTGATCGATTCTCTCAATTGTGTTTTACTGACTGGTGCATAGTAAGGAATGAGGGGATGAACCCCCAATATCAATTCCTTTAATTTAGATCCAGCCATCCTCGCAACGCCAACGCCCCAGCTCGTCCTCACCGTCCGGCCCAAGACGCTGGGGACTTGAAGCCCGGCGCCAAAGCGCCTCCCACGAGCAACTCGGGCGTCACCAAGACTGCCAGGTAGGTGTTGTTCACCTCGGTCAAAGACACGGAGAAAACACTCCCCATGATCGAAGTGGATGGCAGTTCGGCCCCTCCGACTCGGACAGACCATGAAATCCGAAGACCAAACCGGTGGTGTGAACTCCACTTCAATGATTGGGAGATATTGGGAGTGTATCAACGATCAACATATTGGACAGTTGAGGCCAAATCTGTTGTGCTGAAGATGTGCTGTTGCGCTTTTGAGGGTCTTGGAACAATGTGTAGATTATGTGGGACCTGTCTTCGGGCCTTGCAAGCATGAAACCAGGTCATGCGAGGTCACGAGGAAGACTATATAGTGTTCAAGTCGTGAGGCAAAACATCTGATTCTGCTCATGTTTGCGAGGACTGTATCCCATGAATTCACACCACCATCAGCGGCATCTCTTTGAAATGATTATTGGGATGTCAACATGCTTGCATTTTTGCTGAGTTAATTTAGATTTAATTACTCATGTGTCAGGCATGTTGTTGAACTTGGGTCTGCTTGGTTTTGCTCGAGGAAACACATCAAAAATCCTTCATCTTCCCCTAAAGGGGGTTTCTTCAAAATATAGGGAACACAAAGAAAAACACACATGGGGCATCATGGGACACCTCCGTCCCGGATTTTGAAGCTACACACCTCACACATACACATCCCAAAAGACTCTGGAGGATTCTCCGGCCCTAAGCCCGTAGAGAAGGAGGATGCTTCTTTCGCCCTAGGCGGCTGCCCCAGCCAAAGCCTCTCAGCCTCGCCTGCTTCTCTTCCCCCCCATTCGCCCCTTTCGCTGGCCCCGAGCGGCACGGCGGTCCCACGGATCGGTGATGTGTCCGCCGTACCTCGGGACCGTACTTCGGTGGCTGGTGCTGGTGGCTGTTGTTGAGAGAGAGAGAGAATTACGCACTTCCTGATACTCAAAAGGGCTGAGGTCAGGTTCTATGATGTTTATCATGCAATATGCAAAGTTACTGATCTGTACTGAAAATGGTTCGCACTCCCCCTTGGCGATGTGAGACTCTAAAAATGTTTCTTTGAGCTCACTTTGCCACCATAGTCCATCTTCTTCCATTTCATCCTTCTCTTTCTTGCTGTGAACTGTCTGTTCTCTCAAAAAATGTGTTGGTCTGTCTGGAAAGTTTCTCCTCATGCCTGCACATTCTAGCAATTCCTTATACATTTCCATCTCTTTCTCAACCATATCTGCTGCTTCGTTTTGTCCACTAGTCAGCAGCTTCCAGTATTTCTCATGGACCACAAGTCGACCACACTATTGACTTGCCTACAAAATTTTTCGTTTCTTCAAATTCCATTCTCTCATATTATCCTACTCTCACTTGGTCTTCACTGTGCCAGTAACCATTTAGGTTCATCCAGTATCTGATCCTTTGTCCTCCAAGTGGCTTGCGTTGAGGTCTGCCATGTTGCTATCTGTTGGCACGTGTACCATCTTGAAGCCTTTCCTGTTCTGAATCCATAGCAGTTTTCCGTCTAAATGCATCACTTTTCCAACTCCTCTCTTTGTCACAAGTTGGCGCGCGCCTGATGAATTTGTGAAGATGTAATGGTCCACCTTTGTCCCAAGAGCAAATTCCAGAACTGCTCTGATACAGATTCCATCTGATGCAGAGGAAACTAGTGCATGTAGTGCTGCTTCACACGAAGATAAGCTAATGATCTTCTGTGTTCTGCTGCTGTTGAACAATGGGCAACTATTCAATGCATGGAATCCTCCTGACGTTGACTTTCTGTGGCTTTTGTTTCCACTCCAGTCTGAATCTTTCCATCTGGATTGAGTTGTCTGCTGGTAGTTGTTGGAGCTTGACAGGCCCAATCTGCTCTTCATAGGCTTTCAACATCTGCTAGATGTAGTCGCATGGTTGGATCCATATTCCATCAACTTAAACTGTGTACTCATCTTTAATTGTGTCAATCTTGCTCACACTGGTGTCGAATTTGCCTTGAATCTTTGGAAGAAAGATTTCATTGATGTACTTTGAATCTCCCGTGAAAATCAAGTCACCCACATGGATCAAAATGGTACTCTTCCTAGGCATGGACACTCAGCGCTAAATTGGTAGTTGAGTTCCTCCGTGAAGTACTCTGTGGAAAAGTCAAAACATGCCTTTGCTCCATCTCTTTGTCCAGGTAGATTTCTCTTCACTAGGAGATCTTTTCCTCTCAAGATCACTTTTAATGGTTTCTCTTGTGGAACTTGTAGAAATGCACCCTTCACATCAAGACATTCTATCGTCAGTGAGAATGCTCCTTCTCCTTCTCTTGCCCCATCTTCTTTGCTACTTCTCTGCAAGAATATTGTGGGTAGAAGCTTCAGTATGTTGATCTTGGCCTTCTTGCTTGAATCAATTGATGGCCTGATTTTTTTCATTGGGCTTTCCTCCTCAATCAACTCAAATGCTTCTCTTGGTCTTGATGGCGCGGACGGTGATCTCAATGAAGATAGTATAGAAACAATTGGATTTGGCTGTCCTGCTGGCAATGATGTAGAGGGAAACGCCTTCACTTCTTCAAGTGTCTTCTCATCTGCAAAGAGAACTTTCTGCTCCTTATTTGTTGTTTCTTCTTCGCCTGGCTTCGTTTCATTTCCTTTCACCTCCATCTCTTTTCATTGCTTCAACAAGAATCTCCAACAGGGCTGGAATCTCCTTTGGCTCTGGTAATTGTTGCTCTTCTTTCTCTGAATCAATTCCTCCCCACTGCCTTGGCCATGACTGCGTCTGCACCCTCATCACTGAATTTCACCATTACATGTCGAGGAATATCTGTCTGCACTGCTGGTAATGCTTCTGCTCTCCTCTTGGTGGCAAGATTTCTGCCTCAAAAACTGGTTTGATACTCCCGTGAAAATGCATTGACGCTTTAGTATATGGGTACGTATTTGGACAAATCTTGATCTGTGAGTACATAGGTGTCTTGCCTTTCAACCTTTCCCAAGAGCAAGCATAAATGCCATCTCGCTTCTCCTTTGTTGAGGCTCTTGATGTAACCATGCACTGGTTCACCATACCCTGCTAGAAGTCCCTTGTAACTTGATAGAGAGTTGCACCTTTGACTGGCTGAAATCTATTCAGTGCCCAACTGGCATGTCTTGCTGCCCAAGTCACAAGTGCATGATCTGACCTAATCTTGATTCCAAGTCTTGACTGCACACCTTCAAAGGAAGTTCCTGCAAGCTTTCTCACCCTGTCAGCTGTGTTCTCTGACAGAAATGAATGATCTCCAAGCTTTGAGTTAACCAATCTGGTAATGAGTCCTAGACTGTGGCGAGCATTGGTCAGCATCTTGAGGATTTGCCTTGTTGTGGGTTCACTGTCACTCCTGTAGATGTTTGCTGATTACTCCAACAATTGACTGAAATTCATCAATAATCCAGTTTGGCTGTCAATTGCAACTAGCCAACATACTGCTCTTGCTGACTTTGTTTCTGAGTCTCTTGCTCTTGTATAGCAAAAGTCAAAGCTTACCTCAGGAATACTTCCTCTCTTCACCCCATCTGTTCTCTCATGGCGATCTGGCCGCGCTCGATGTTCAATGCGCTCCATACACCAGTAAGCATATGGCATGTGTGTCAATCTGTGCCTTGCTTGAGTTGCTTCATCTGGCATCTTTGCCACACTTTGTCCTAATGCCTCTCTGGTCTCTTGAGCTTTTGCTTCACTCACCAAGCTTTCGGCGTTCAACAATTCCATCTTTTGTTGTGATTGAGGATCTTGGTGTGGACCTTTAGCTTAGAGCTACTGCCTGACGCGCCAAGAAATAAGCAAGCTGCCCTCGGAGTTACCAAAGAAGAATCCTTAGTAACCTCTATTCCATTCACCAAGGCTTTGTCTACATCACTGGGCTCAATTGTAGTTCACACTCAAGGTCATCTTCTTTCTGACCTTCTACCTCCTTCTCCTGTGGAGTAGTAATCTCTTCTAGCGCCTGCTGCACTTCTTTCTTTCTTGGCTCTCTGTTCTCAAGCTTCTTGTATCCTGGTGCAAAGAACCCCATATCCTCTCGTGGTGCTGGCTCACAGAAGAAGATTGCGATTGAAGGAACGACTGCGTCATCATCAAAGAATTGCTCATCAAGTTCCTCCTTCTTCATCATGCTCTCACAATATTCAGGCATTCGCCATCTACCTCCTCTCTTCACCAAAGTAGTCCTCATCAGCTCTGGTGATTCTTCCACTTCTGGAACAACTGTTGGATCCACAAATTTTGAAGTCAAAGCAGTCCATGTTCATTGAACCTCCAACCTCGTTCTTTCCCAAGAGCTTCAGGTACTTGCACATCCGAGCAGTCTCGAATGACTCTAATGCGGCCTTGAACTGTCAAAGAGCGATTTTGTAGGTTGAGTGGCATCTTCTAGTCACCATTCTCCAACATTTGCTCTCTGCTGCTGATTCCCCAACCATGCTCCATCAATCTTCCATAACAAAGTATGGGCTGATGTACCTTGGAACTGAAGATCGCACTCTCAAAGAACTTCTCGTCCATCAAGGTCATGCGAGGAAATTTCAACACTTTTCGCAGCATCTTGTAGCTCTCCTTCTCCATGATCTGCCACACTCAAAGAGAAGAATGCTACATCTGCTCCACTGTCAATAATGATGGCCACATCCTCATGCTCTTCCCCAAGTCTTCTCACCATGGGTTCATCATCTGAGATATCAATTTCCTGGAATTCTGCCACATCATCATCATCATCTCCAATGTAGAAGTGAATTACTCGAACTCCTTGATCTTCTAGCTCATCATCTCCCTGCCTCAAGTCAAAGCTGATTGGCTCACTGTTCACAATTCTCCTGACTACGGGTTTGGTCTCTGCTGAGCTCCCTTGTTGGCTCGCACTAGCATGTTGTTGGCCAGCTGTATGAGTTGTCATGTGCTGGCTTTCCACAAGTGTAACACGTTGCCACACCGTTGCCTTTCTGGTCTTCGCCTTTACTTCTGCCCTTGTGATCACCTTCCTACCAATTGCCAAGTTCAAACAGGACTTGAGTTGTCCACCTACACATCTAAAAAGAATAGCAGATTTCAACCCTTCCTGAATTGTAGTCCCTGCCTTGAGAGTCTCATCAAATACCTCTTCAAGCTTCAAGAGTTGAGGTTGTAGTGCACTACTCATCGAAAATGCTGGCCATGTAGCGGCTGCTCTCAGAGTGCCAAGCCTCTTGCCTTTGAAGTTGGCTTCAAAGCTTTACCCAAACTCCTCCAGGCATCAAGTCCATTAGAGTCTTCCACAGCCTTCACCAATTGCAGTGCCTTTCCTCTCATCAGTGAAGCTAACAGTCCATAGAGCTTGAGTGCATCAAGTCTTCTCTGCCACAGTTGCCAAGTGCATGTCAAATTTGTCATTTGGCTTTTCACAAATTTCCTTCAAGTCCTTCGTGTAGCCCTCATCAACTGCACTCGAGTACTTCTCAAAGACCCATGACCACTCTCTAAATGCCTTGGTCTTGTAGTCAAAGATGTTGGGCTTTGCTTGCTATCCACTTTGACCAACCTGTTGTTGATGACCTCTTGCTTTCAACTGCTTTCTTCACTGCCTCAGCTGCTGATGTCGTAGAAGGATTTCTCTGATCTCCTCCATCTCCTCTTTGTACTAATGTCTCTTTGACACAATGTACTGGGTACAGAGTGTTGCTCACAACAATTATTCATCAGTCCAGCTGTTTGGGTTCCAAAGGCCCCCAAATCTATGGCTCACAATCAGAGCTCCAGAGGGGTTGCCTCCTTCTCTGCTCCGCTACCATACGCACCTTTTCTTGATACTCAAAAGGGCTGAGGTCAGGTTCTATGATGCCTATCATGCAATATGCGAAATTACTGATCTGTACTGAAAATAGTTCACAAATATATATAAATATACATGTAGAATGATATTAATGCATATAATTATACATTTAATATCATTATAATTCATTATATAAATTATAGATGGATGGAATCTTTTGAGCCTCAGAGAGTCCTTGACTCAGCGCACTTCTGTGCACGTCTCCCAAAAGGGGAGCATGCATCGAGCATGCGAGACTGCTTCTCCGGTGCTGGCTGAACAACTCAGAGTCTTTCGACCAGATCAACACACCACCTGCCACCACCAGACCGAAACCTTGACCCGAAAGTCTGAGTAGCATGATCTCGCCGAAAATGTACCGCAAGTCCGGCCAGGGCACCTGCAAAACGATGCGGGTGTGACCAGTGTGGTGTGACCAGCATCTTGAAAGAACCCCAACCACAAAACACACAGGTATGGGTGGTTTGTCGGTATTCCATGGAGGACGTGATCGCCATGGACAGGGTATTGCCTCGCTTGCACGCTGCTTCACCATGTTGTTTGGTCAACTCAAAGCGTGAAAATCACCTCGGCAGCACAATAATGAAAAAGTTACTTCGGCTCCGGTATTTGATTTCCTAGCGTTTCTCCTAGTGTCATATCCCGTGACGACTGGTACAGCCTCTGTGCCCAGGTTCTCCGCATTGTTGAGGTAGTTCTTCAAGACTTGTCCACCTAACACCATCACACAGCGAAGTACAGATCGACCAGCAAACATCAACGAACTGAAGTGTTATGTTTGGGTCTCGTGACAATGTTGGATCAAGAATCTCAAACAATTGGGAAGCCCTACATTGGGGCCAGGATCCACCTCTGCCAACACTGGAATATCCTTGTGCATTGGTATGACTGCAATCGACTAGTCAATCGCCTTTAAAGCATGTCAGGGAAATAGCTTCACGGACGTGGCATCCATGTACCTCACCCGAATTTCGGGACGAACGATGCACTGAGCTTCACACAAATGGTCAAGTCACCATCGTTGAAGGGATATTTCTTGGACCTTAAATTGGCGAACGTTGCAACAGCTGGTGTGCGCTGTCAAAGGCACTGCTTTGGAAAATGACACATTGTCATCCACTACACTCGAATGACTCAAATACCAATATACACGTGACCTAGAGCATTTCAACGTGCTTTTAAATCAATCTCCAGCATCCGGACTACTCCATGGCTAGCTCAAACGACCCAATGTCTCTATCTCGCACCACCCACCTGTTTTGCCCTGGTGGATGGTACCTGGGCGGTGGCCGGTGGGTCACTGACTGAGGCGCCCCAACCAACCTTGAGCTCCGAACTTAATGCGTCCTGCACGATGGACGACAGGTCGATCACGATGGACGACGTGGACGTGTGAGACACCAGCTCTTGGTGCCAAAATGGCAGCGCCATGGACGAAAGATCCAAGGAGACCGTCCAGTGGCCATGCAGGGTGACACATGGCATGACATTGCATGAAGGGTGGCTGATGGATGCTGGCTGCCTCAGCTAACGCATCAACAAACATCAACCACTCGGCCTTTTTAGGTGACAAACATGAACGTAAGAATCCGCGCCCTGAAACACATAAGGGTTTTGGGGGGGCCCTGACCCCTGCGAAGGTGTTGGATCCATCCCTTTCCATTGAGGGCTCAAGGATTTTGAGGGCAAATACTATCAGCTTTTCGTACACTCTCTCTGGGAACAGCCACTGAAGAGCCATGCTTCTGCCCTTCTTTGTCTACCCAGCCCGATGTCTCGATTTCTTCGATTTCTTCGTCCGTTCACGTCTTTCTCCCCATCGTTCAGAAGTCTCGCGTGTCTCCTGAGATCAGCGAATGGAAGAAGCAAAGCGCAAACAAGGTGGCCTTGAACTCTCGAGGCTTCAAGCAAGCGTCGATGTTCTCCTGGCAGGAGTAGACGATGTTTCGGAACTTTCGGAGAACGATGAATTGACGTTGCCCGTCGTTTTCATGTTCATGGTCGTTGAATTGTTCAGCATACGTTCATCCGGATCTATCCAGATCACATGTTTCTTGGCAAAGGCTGGATGACTTCACCTTCATTCCTTGGACCAGGCCAGTCAAAAAGGTGAGACACGACACGCCGATGCCCTGTCGATCTTGGGCACTCAGCACACAGTGGTCTCAGAATGGTCCGAAGACAAAGCTATGACCTGGATTGTTGAATTGAGTCTTCTCATCTTCAACTCCCAACATGCAGGTGTTGGATGTAATTCTCATGTCGGCTCATAAGTCTGAATTGCATTGAATTGCGCCCTATTGTTGAGCCACAAAAGCATGACATGTGGCCAGTTCCTTTCCGAACAAGACGTGCTCCTTTCATATCTCGAGGCCGGCGAAATGCATGCCATGCCTCTAGCGATGCGGGCTCCTGAGAAAACTTGGAGTAGGCACGGCGCAGGTTGGACTTCAAATCGGATGGAGCCTCATCTGCCACCTTGATGCACCTCAGGGCAACGCTTCCCAGGTCTCCCCCAGCGTCGCCGAATTCTCTTACGTTACCGTACAATGGCCGTTCCCTTTCGAGGAAGCGAAGCTGAGCGAAGCTTGAACATCTCTCTTGGGATCCACTAACCCATGTAGTGTCGGTCAATCGCTTTGAAGATCGAAGTCAATTCCAGGATTCCAGTCGTTACTCAAGACAGAATAACGACGTACTAGCCAAGGGCACTGCCAAAGGCTGCCACACACACACAGAGCTATGCGATGAATTGACAAAAGGCGGCATGTTGTCAAAATACAAGCTTTGACAACATCCTGTCATTCAATCATCTCATTATCCTGCCCCATGCGTGGAACCAGCCCATGGCCGTGCCACCTCTGCAAGATGGGCTCGGGGATCAAATCCCAAAGCCTTAGTTTGGCCGAACTATGCCGCACAAGAACCTGTGCTCAGGCCTCTCCGTCTGATACGGGCGTGGAGAGTCTTGTTTGTGCCTTTGTCAAGTAGACTTTTGCTTTCCTACACCTAGAGTGCTACCAAATGCTATACAAGGACCTGTATGGCCAAGAAACTCACAAGGTTTCTCTTTCTGTGTGTTTTTTTGTCGCATGTTCCGCTTGATTCGAAGGAGAACTGCGCTTCTCGCAGCACAGGGCTGTCTGTCATGAGTGCTGTTTGTTGCCAATGTCGCTTTAGCAAGTTCCAACTACAGCCCCTTATTGTTCTTTCCACGTAACATGAAGCTACTAGGAACAAGTGCATCGCTACTAGGAGCAAGGGCCTTACTAGTAGTAATAGGAAGCCCCTTAATGTTCTTTCCACCTCTTCCAGGGTTCCTGTCATCGCATTTCATGCGGTTGTCACAACATATGCAATCAATTTCCACAGCAGGCCTTTCCCAAACATTGTCAGAGTTGGATGGAGAGAAGTGTTTGTGGGCCAACAAAGCGTCCACACAGATGTCAGTCCTTCAGCATTTACTGGCCACTTTGGGCCTGCAATATCCACAGAAGCCGTTTCAAACATGCTATCGTGAGAGCAAGGTCCTGACACAATCAGATTCGAAACAACACAAACGAACATGAACCGGCCAATAGTAGCAGCAACAATACTGGTGCAAGCTTTTCAAGAGCAAGGTCCTGCAGCCTCAAACAGAGCCCAAAAAAGAAGGGATCACCTTATAAGGCACCTTGAGACAGTCAATACAACATCCACCGCAGCATACCGCATACCTTCCGGAAACGGTGGATTCCCAACGAACCCGTGGAACGAACCACCAAAACAACATGGGGTATAAATCCCAGATACGACTAATGGGACTGCCATATATGCCACCCCGTAGGCACATAATATGGCATGTGTCTGGGAATAACTACTTAGCCGGATGGAAAGAATGAGATCGAACTTCGAAGGCTGAACTCAAGTCTCCAACAGTTTTTGGGGTCCGTCCGATCTCCACCTGGGTGTCTCGCTCGCTCGACCTCCGTGGGCTCGAAGCTTCTCGCTCCAAGTCGCTTGCCCTGCATGACTCCTGGCGGCTCGGAGGTCAAGAAGCAACGGAAGTCCTCGGCAGCGGAGCCGCGTGAAGCCGCGTGAAGCGTGGCACTTCTGAGGCGTGCTGAAGCGTGGTCGTTTGAGCACAGGTTGCTGTTCGCGGAGCACGGAAGAAACGTGCTGTTGGTGCTGTTGGGCTCCAGTCGTACCTCTTCATGTTCGGTATAACTGGACCCTCCTGGTACCCACCCCCGTCCTTCGAAACAAAGGTATGACAGGGTCGCCCCAACGGGTTCAGCACGCTTGCTTCTCAAACGCTGGACCTGAGACCTCACCTGGGAGCTTCCAACTTCGGTGCCCGGTTCGGTGCTTTGGGAGGTGAACGTTCTATATACTTAGAGTATTAGGTATTTACTCCCCCCCGCAGATTAACATGGAACCCCAAAACCACTGGGTTGTAGAGGGAAATGGTCTTCCACCAGATAATTCTCGGGTTCCATGTTAGTTTGCGGGAGAGTAGATGAACATGAAGCCGTGGAAGGCGAAGATGTCTTCATCCGGATGGACTTCCTCCATCGATCTTCTTGATCAATCTTCCCAGGACTTTTTGCTTATCCTTCATGAACTCAGACCGCCCAAAAAACACATCATTTCTGTCATAGATTTCATGCCAGTCTCCGGAAATCTGCCGGAATTCCGCCCTCGATGACCTGTCAGCTCTCACCAGTCGACCAGCATTGGAAATGCAAGGCACATCATGAACGAACTCCTCGATGACCTCAAGCGCTCGCTCCAAATCCTTCAGCCACGCTTGCATCAAGTGGATGTTCTGCAACATGATCCATCCGCCTGGTCAGGGTCTGACATGGCCTGACTTCACCAACATGTCAATGCTACTCAAGGTGTATACTTGCATAGCTGCGATGTTTTTCTCTGCCCATCTCTGCCCCTTCTGTTCTTCTAATTGAATGACACAGGAATGCAGAAAGGAAATCCAGAAGCAGTGACCATACGCGGCTTGGTGAGGCACTAACTAAAGTGCGTAAAAGTAACATGTCACACCCCTGTCGCCCCCATACAAGTACTACTGAACAGCCCACTGTGGCCCTCTACTCATATAGCTTCATGCACCGTGACAAGTGGCTTCAAGAAAGGCCAATCTGAACTCTTGATAGCTTCATGCTATTTCATGCCTAGCCTATATAGCTTATATAGTTAACATCAATCAAGTCTGAACGCTTGCAGCTTTAAGCGGCTTATATATATATCACATAGCTTCATGCTCTCTTTCAAAATCAAGTCATCCGCCTTCCTTTGCCATCTTGTTCAAGGCGTTCAGCGCAATCTTCTCCTGGGGAAAAGCACAGGGCATCAACAAATTGCCCGGTAAGTTCAACATGATTACTTCAATGTCTGCAACCTTAAAACAAAACACACACACAATGGATTTGCTCGTCTGTGAAGTTTGGTATCCACATGGATGAACCCGTTTTCCTGTCCTGTCCCTGACCCATGGAGATGTTCAGCAATTGACCATTCGCCTATCAGGCGCAAGCGGGCGCAAAGCAAACAAAAAAAACACGTCTCCGCATGCTCCACGACAAAAACTCGAAACGAGCGTTATTCTTTTTACCGAGACAAGGTGGATGTCAAAGGTCAACCGAGACGAGTTGGACCTTGACCCCGTTCTTGCATTCACAGGGCCAGGGGTGGATCTAACTCACGAAACTGTCACCCGACTATGTCAGCCTACTAGATATGACATTTGGCCTGTATCTTAGGCTCGTGCACCTCTAGAGTTGAGGTTCGAAGTTTACGGCGGACGCTAACCTTGGAGGACATGGCTGAGTATGACTGTATCCCTAAGGATCCCAATCACTGTCTGAGAGAGTACCTGGCTTTCAGGTCCATTGTCAAAGCATGTTGGTACCCAAGTCCATGTGAGCCAAAGTTGCAAAATGGTGATTTTCTACAAACAGAACATTTTTTGTTTTATTGTTAATATTTGTGGTGGGATCCACCCATCATCACCTCCAGCCGGCTCAATCAGCAGCTCTTGAGCACGTGAGCTTTTCCAAGACGCACCGTCGGGGTTCTCAGCTGTCAAAACCAGCTGTCTCGAGCTTGTTCGTGAGCCTTGGCTGACGCAGGATGGCTGGGATTGGCCTGGGCAAAACTTAAAAAGCCTTATAAGTGGAGTTGAGGACCGAAAGACAAATTGTCGATCGAGATGCTGCAAAGAAACCCGGTGAACCAACGCATAAGTGCAACATGTTCCAGCCCTTGTTTGTGCGTCACTGCACAACATTGCTTAATTCGACCGATCCAATCCTCTGTATGGAATGAATGGTACTTTCGACAATTGATTCCTCAGCTTGTTCTGCAGGATCAATGCGTGAAAGAGATCTTCTTGGGACCACCGGGATTTGTTGGGTTAAAGCCACTAAAAAGTACTGCACTTAGCAGCCATGAGTCGGTCAATGGACTGGGTACGCAACAGCTCTTGAAGTCCCTCAGTCCCATGAGTTACTCACAGGAGTGCAAACTATCATCAAGGTGATCCGATCAATAGACACACATTCAAGTGTTCGAGGGGACCAAAATAAAGAAATTAGTTTGGCCTCTAAGTACCAAGTTACATGCCACTTTGGGCGGCTGGGCCACAGCAACTCACCGGCTTGAACAGCGGCGATGGCCAGTCTTATGTAGGCTCTCATGCTAGTTTCCTCAGCTCATCCATTTTGGCACCCCGATCAAATTAAGCATTAAAAATGTGAGCTGATCACTGACCCTGAAGTGTGCATCTAAGACTCCACCTGCCTTTCCATGAGTTGGGCAGTCTCCAGAGTGAGGTAGCGGCCATTGTCCTCCAAGGTCTGGTGAAAGTCCCTCATGGCGCACCTGGGCCAGGGCAGTTTGTTGTGGACGGCCCGGGGCCCCAGAGTGGATGGGGTTTTTTATGACTAACGTTGACCGGGGCCACCGCCCACCCCTTGAAGGGGGGCCCATTAAGAGAGATGGGCAACCAGAGCTTTGATGGACGCCAGTTGGAATGATGCAGTCCAGACTTGCAGGCAATGGCCTTGGACAAAGGGAGCTCAACATAGCTCAGCATATTCACCCCAACATCGTTGAGCAGAAAAGAGCTCAAGTCGAATCGGAACATCATCAACAATGCCGGCGCTGACCTAATCAAGACTGCCAACACAATATGGGCAGAAAGTCACATGTCAGAAAGACGTGATTGACGCCCTCAACCGGCTGGTGTCGTATCCTCGAGAAGCCACAAAGAACAAGAAAGGTGGTCGAGATGATGCAGTCCGGCAGTTGAAGAGATCTTCAGGCGAGCTTGCAATCATTGCAGTGGGTGTCTACACGCATGCGCAGCACTGGCACTGCAGCACTGTCTCATCAACGGTGAGCCACATGATGATGCAGTGGCCAAGACAGAGCTAGAAGAGCTACGCAAGGCCTATTTGGAATCAAGGGCCATCGACCAACTTCTACATGTGGAAAGCAGGGTTGCTGGTTGTTCATTGCAAGTACCAGCCCAACGAACAGGCTTGCATTGAACACTGATGTCGGTGGGGTCGCCCACCGATGTACCTGCACGTACCTAGGCTTGCATTGA